AGACCGCCAGCGTGTGCTGGGCCGAGTCCTCACTGCAGTCGCAGTGGTGGCAGGCGGGACTCAGTTCCCTCCTAGCGACCGTGTGCAGGTACTTTCCGAAGCAACCATGCCCGGAAAGCACCTGCGTCAGCCGGAAGGAAAGAGTCCCGTGCTGCCGCCCTGCCCACTCGGCGATGACCGGCTGGAGAGCCTCCACGGCGGCAAAGCCAGCGCGTGGAGTCTCCAGCCGGAACGACCAACGAGCCATCGTGGCTCGGCAAGCGGCTTCGCGCCACTCGCGCACATCCTCGGGCGGAGGGCGAAATCCGCTCTCCCCCCGGAAGTCAGCCACTCGCCGATAAACTTCGGCGAGCACTTCCGCCTCCAAATCCCACGGGGGAGTTCCGGCCAACGCGCATGCCACCTCCGTAGAAACGGTGCGGTAACCGCGTATGGCTCTGACCGCCATTACCCTCTGAGGGCGCCAGAGGCGTACCCTATTCTGGGCGGTCAGAGCCGCCGCCCACACCGGTGCACCGTACAGCGCCATTGACCGGACAACCCCCGTGTACAGCCGTCTTGTCGCGACGCTGGGTCCACCCATATTGGGCAAAAGTCGCCCTAGGGCAGACGCAGCGCCGACCAGCTTTGGAGCAAGCTGTCGGAAGTGCTCGTCGAAGAGCCACCTCCCGTCGAGGATCAGGCCCAGATATTTCATCTGGGCCCGAACCGGTACGAGGACCGAGTTGACCACGATTGAGGTGCCAGGGGGTGGACCACGACGGGGCCCATGAAATAACAGGGCCTCCGTCTTATCTAGGGCCACCCGTAAGCCCAGCGCCTCAATGCGCCCGACCACCAGGGAGACTCCCCCTGTGGCCAGGCGCGCCGCCTCTTGGAAGTTTGCCCCCCGGGCTGTCACGAGGGTATCGTCTGCGTAACAGATTACACCCAGCCCGGGGGGGAAATCGGCGCGAAGGGCCCAGTCGTACCCTATGTTCCACAAGAGGGGTCCAAGAACAGACCCCTGTGGAACACCGCACGACATGGGCCGACTCCTCAAATTACCTTCTCGGTCCTCGTACACGACGGTACGCTCCTCTAAATAGTCTGCCACCAGCCGCCTCAGGTACTTTGGCACCCCATGATAGTGGAGTGCTTCCCTGATGCATCTGAATGGCAGACTATTGAATGCGTTGGCGATGTCCAATGACACCGCCAACAGCACGCCGCCACAGCTCACGGCCTCTTCGGTCACGGCCCTCAGGCGCAACACGGCGTCGACTGTCGAACGCCCCGCCCGAAAACCAAATTGGGCGTCCGACTTTTTTTTAAAAAGCCTAAGTCAAGGCCCCGTGTAACAGATCGATGACAAGGTGCACGTATTTAATGAAGCAGTGACTAAATTGTACGATACCCATGCACCAGTGAAAAAAGTTAGGTTTAAACGAACGCCGGCACCCTGGATTACCAGAAGTATACAGATGGCCATGAGACGCCGAGATCGGGCTTTTAGAACTTATAAGACGGACCATGTCGAGGTTAACTGGCAACTGTATAAGTCTGCGAGAAATCGGTGTAACCGGATGATACGGAACGCCAAACGCCGCCATATTCTTGATAACATCTCCTCTTCCTCTCCTGCCGACATCTGGAAGTTCCTTGGAACTCTTGGTGTCGGCAGATCGCGACATGTAGGCTTTCCACAATCCATAAGTCTCGATTCCCTAAACCAACACTTTACCACTTCTTTCACGTTGAACAGTCTATCTTCACATAATACTCTGAATTATATCAATAGTCTACCGCGCCCTAACTTAAGCCCTTTTCACTTTAGTCCTATAGCGGAAGGAGAGATTAAGAAGATTATTCTGTCTATCAAATCCCAAGCGATTGGTTGTGATGGAATTAGTCGGCGAATGATCACCACATTGCTAGTCCACCTCAATCCCGCTATCTCCCATATTATAAACTTCTCCCTTATGTATGGCACATTTCCTTTACTGTGGCGGAGAGCGTACGTGCGCCCGTTGCCTAAAACTCCTAATCCGTCACTTCCCACTCATTTTCGTTTTATTTCTATACTACCCTTCCTCTCCAAAGTGCTGGAAGCCTGCGTCCATAAACAGTTCTCCCACTTCATTCATTGGAACAATTTACTTAGTCCTTTCCAGTCAGGGTTTCGACCAGGCCATAGCACGGTTTCCGCTCTTCTTAAAGTAACTGGCGACATTAAGGGGGGGATGGAGAATACTAACGTTACTACCGTAGTACTGGTAGATTTTTCTAACGCCTTTAATACCGTCAGTCATGAGCTCCTACTTGCTGTCCTATCCCATTTCTCGGTCTCGCAAGAAGCACTGGACTGGTTTTCCTCTTACTTTCGGGATCGTCAGCAGTCAGTCAGTATGGAAGATTCTTTCTCTGGCTGGTGTGATCTTGCAGCTGGCGTCCCTCAAGGCGGTATTCTTTCACCTCTTCTATTTTCTATCTTCATTAACCTTATCACTCTTAGACTTCAGTGTTCCTATCATCTCTACGCTGATGACTTGCAGTTGTACTACCAAACAGAGATGTGCAATATATCGTCTGCGGTTTCGATTGTTAACAGTGACCTAGCGGCCATTAAACATTGGTCCGAAAAGTTTGGCGTATCGGTGAATCCAAACAAATGTCAGGCCATTATCATCGGGAGTAACCGTGGTATGAGCCAGCTCGACCTTGCTACAATGCCACCTCTTTTCTACGATGGTATGGTTATTCCATACTGTGAAAGCGTGAAAGACCTCAGACTATATATTGACATGACTCTTAGTTGGCGGAAACAAGTTGCTTCTGTGTGCCAGAAAGTCACAGGCTCGTTGCGGGCCCTCTATAGGCTTAAGAACTTTCTGCCTGTGAAAACTAAGATAATGCTAGTTCAGACTCTAATATTCCCTATAATCGACTATGGTGATGTGTGCTACTTTGACCTGAATGCAGATCTACTCAATAAGCTTGACCGCCTTCTCAATAATTGCATTCGATTCGTTTTTAATTTACGCAAATATGATCACGTGTCTCAGCATCAGCGCCCTTTTAAAGTGGCTACCAATTCGCCAACGCAGAGAGACACGGGCATTAACTACCCTATATTCTTTACTCTTTTCTCCAAGTGCTCCTTCTTACTTAACTAGTCAACTTCAATATTTAGGTGCAAACCACGCTAAAACCCTTAGATCTTCAAGCAACCCACTTCTTCACTGTCCCACTCACCACACTGACTTCGTACATTCTACTTTTCTGGTACAATCTGTTTTGTTATGGAATGCGCTCCCTCTCGAGATCAGGATGGCAAAAACTCGGCAAACGTGCAAACGGCACTCGGCTTATATGTATGTATAGGTGCATATGGATATATAAATACTTATGTATTGTATGTGTTAGTATTATTATCACTTATTGTAAATGTATTTTTTTTATATATTCTGTATATGTAGTTAATATGATATCCTATATGTGCTATATTTTTTCTTAAAATCACATTTTTAATTTATTTTGTGCATCTACCATGTTTTGGCTCTGCATCGCCCTATGGTTGACTGGGAGAAAATACCTACGGCATTAAGTCCGCCTTTGTCATATTTGTGCATAAAGTGTAAAATACAATAAATAAAATTCAGCAATAGATGCTAACGATCCTACATATATCTATAAAATTTAGGATAAAAGACTTGGGGCAGTTAAAACAATGTTTAGGCATTAGAATTCAAATGTATAAAAATGGTTGCATGTCACTAGTAATATGTGCATAGTAATATATTATATTAAATAAATTTAATATGACAAATTGTAATGGTGTCGATACTCCCATTGAGAATAATTTAAAGCTAGAGAAAGGTGTTGAAGTTTGTAAACAATACCCATTTCAACAACTAATAGGAAGTTTAATGTACTTAAGTGTCTTAACTCGCCCAGATATATCCTATAGCGTAAGTTATTGGAGCCAATTCAATAATTGTTATTCACTCATACATTGGAACCATGCAAAACTAATTTTAAGATATATTAGCAAAACTAAATCTTGTGGGCTTATGTGTACTAAAGATAATTGTAACTTAGAGGGTTTCGTTGATGCAGACTGGGGCTCAAATACCATAGATAGGAAATCTTATACAGGTTTTTACTTTAAGCTTTCAGGATCTGTTATCTCATACGAATGTAAGAAACAGCAAACTACAGCTTTATCCAGTACAGAAGCCGAATACATGGCGATAACTGAGGCTTGTAAAGATATATATTTAAAAACTTGTTGAATGAGATTGTAGATTTTTATAATTATACGATAGTCTTGTACAATGATAATCAGAGGGCTAAAAAGTTGACAGAAAATCCATTGTTCCATAAAAGAACCAAGCACATTTTGTTAAAGAAGCAGTCGCTAATAAACATGTAAAGATAGTTTATCTGCCAACATCTGAAATGCCTAACAAAGGGCTTGAGTAGTATCAAACATAACTATTTTGTTAAAAAGCTAGGCATGCATATTATTGTGTGATCTAGATATATATGATGCTTATTAGTACCTGTGCAAAAACAGTATATTTTAAGTAGCTAAGTAAACACTGAACCGTTTGTGACTGTATGCTTTTGAATTGTTATGTATGGTTTAGATTATTTTGATAAGTGGAGATGTTAAAATTACTATCAAAATAATGTTATAAATAAAGCTTACATCAACTGTCAACACGCGCTAAAGTGCTGTCGGAAAAAAAAGTGATTCTGTGTTTTAGGTTGCGAATTTGTGCTTGGAAGTACGAAAAAATCCAAGCACTGATGGTGATAACCGTGTAACATTGTTAGCAACGAGAAGTGTTTCGTGATTACATTATAAAACAGTGATCAAAATACAACACTGACATTAAGATCTACCGAACTTTTTTCACTTACCCTCATACTAGAATTTTATTTTATAATTACCAATGTCAAATGGCACCTGACATTTGGAAAAGTGTTGCCACAATATTATTTTAAAATCCACCATGAGTGAAGACAATAGTGGAAAACCGGCTGAGATGGGAAACATAGATCATAGCAATATAAATGGCAGCAACAGCAAAAGGCTGGTACAGCAAGCTTTCGACAAAGATCGTCTTCCCCAGGAAGTAATCAATCAAAAACTCATCCTGCCTCTGGAGACCAACCTGTTGATACAGAAACAGAGACAACAGAACCTTGTCCTCCAACTTGGCAGAGGGTGCCTGTAAGTAGAAATCCTAAGAGGAAGAAAACATCTAACAACTCTTCTCCTGAAACATTGAAAACCTCTAACAGATTCACAGGTCTGACAATAGATCTTACTGATACTGAAGCTGTACCCAAAGAGAAACGTTCCGCTAAACCCCCACCGATAGTATTATATGGTGTAGAAGACGTCAATAAGCTCATTGAACTACCTACTTATAACTGTAGTAGAAAAAGACCAGTTTAGTTTCAAAATTATCAATCGAAACCAGTTAAGAATAAGTAGCTTGGATATAGAAACTTATAAACAAATTATAAATATGGCACGGAAAAATGGTTTGATTGGTCATACCTTTAACCGAAAAGACCAAAGGTGCTTCAGAGTTGTTATACGAAACTTGCACCCGTCAACACCAATGTCTGCTATCAGAGAAGCTGTCGAAGTTACGGGAAACATAGTCTCAGGGGAAATCATTAATGCAAAATTTGGGCCTGATAAAAAACCAACATCAACATTCTTTGTTAATATTGCACCTGGACCGAATAACAAGACTGTAAAAGAACTCAAATATATATACCACCAATCAGTTGTTATTACAAAACATCTGAATGCTAAAAACGCGACCGCACTATTCCCGCCCATTGTGCACTATGTAATGGTTCACATCCAGCGAACTATAAAGGGTGCGAAGTATACAGGGCAATTCGGCTAAGAGGATCTAAGCCAACTCGTGTAGGTGCAAGAAGTTATCAAACGCAAACACCTGCGGCCGATAATACGGTGGATAGACTAGTGCCAAACATACCTGTTAAAGAAGCTCAAAATCCTGGGGAAGCAAAGAAAACATACTCTGATGTTAATCGAAACAAAATGGGACCAACTCAAGAAATACCAAAACCTTTGAACTTTCAAGAGATTTTAATCAAACAGTCTGAAAAATTTGACATAATCTTACAACATATGAGTACCTTAATGATACTCATTACGCGACTCGTTGAAAAATTGACAAAATGACTGCAATTCGAATGGCAACATGGAACATCAATGGATTGACGCCAAATAAAGATGAAGCAGAAACCCTCATGGTACAGCAAAACTTGGACTTGCTATTGATATCCGAAGCTCACTTTGTTGCTGTCACAAATATTAAATTTAAAAACTATGAGTGCTATTTCACCCTACACCCGGATGGGTCCGGACATGCTGGTATTGCGATTGTGGTCAGGAGATCGCTGAAACATCATTTAATGCCTGAGTATAGAACCTGCCACATCCAGGCTACTATAATAGCGGTTGAAGACAGAAATGGCTATTTCAATTTTTCCTCAGTGTACTGCCACCCAGACGTAAGATATCTGCAGAGATGTTTAAAGAATTCTTCAAAACACTTGGTAATAGATTCCTCGCTGGAGGAGACTGGAACGCCAAAAACACTTTCTGGGGATCCAGACTAACCAGCACCAGGGGCAGACAGCTTAAACTTAGTGTAGAAGCGAACAGCTTAACTACAATTTCCACATGTGAACCAACGCACTGGCCTACGGATGTCTCTAGACTGCGGGATCTGATTGACTTTTTTATCATTAAAGGCTTTTGTTCTCACTATACTAAATGTGAGTCTTGTTATGACAGCTCCTCAGATCACACACCAGTACTGCTTACTCTAAGTACGGAGATTATAGAACATGAGTGTCCACAAAGGTTGTACAACAAAAACACAGACTGGTACTCATTCAGGGAATATATTAATGAGAATCTCAAGCTTAAAGTCGCTCTTAAGACGCCAGATGATATTCAAATAGCGGCCGAATATATTACAAACCTCATACAGGAGGCTTGCTGGAAGAGTACACCACTATTAGATATTAAAAATAAGATACAAAAATACCCTCTCGTAATAAAAAAAGCTGTCTTAGAAAGACGTAGACTGCGCCGCATATGGCAACAGAGTAGACTTGCGGCTGACAGAGCCAACTTCAACAGGCAAGCATCGTATTTAAAAGATTTGATTAAAACTTGGCAGAATAACACTCTTGAGGCTCAATTGGCATCCCTTACGCCCATTGCAGCCACAGATTACTCACTGTGGAAATTTACGAAATACTACAATAGACCACAACTGCCAAGATCCCCACTAAGAAAAGAGTGTGGCTGGGCCCGCACGCCGCAAGAAAAGGCCGACCTATTTGCGGCGCATTTATCGACTGTCTTTACCCTGAATCAGAGCGGTGACACTGGTATCAAAACAGAGGTTGAATCGGTTCTCGCCCAGCCTTTACAAATGTCGCTCGCGCCATCCCCAGTGTCGGTGAAAGAAGTCCGCAAAATCATACATGGTCTCAAAAATAAGAAGGCACCAGGCTATGATCTTATTACGAAAGAAATCTTGAAAGAGCTTCCAAGAAAGGTGTTAGTGTTCCTAACAATGCTTTATAATGGAATACTAAGAGTTCAAGTCTTTCCAGACCTTTGGAAGGTGTCACAAATCCTTATGATACACAAAACAGGGAAACCGGCAGACCAAACCACCTCATATAGGCCCATTAGCCTCTTGCCAGTTTTATCCAAGATCTGTGAAAAGGTTATTTTTCACCGGATTATACTCATACTGGAAAATAATACCATTATCCCTAACCATCAATTCGGCTTCAGGCAACAACATGGTACCATAGAACAAGTACACCGAGTGGTCGAAAAAATTAGAAAATGTTTAGAGGAAAAGGAGTACTGCTCATCAGCTTTCTTGGATATTCAGCAGGCATTCGATAAGGTCTGGCATGAGGGTCTCCTTTGCAAAATAAAAAAAAGTCTCCCACACAGCTATTTCAATCTGATGAAATCTTACCTTGCTGAGAGAGTGTTCCAAGTTAAAGAGTCTGGATCAACATCGAAATTCTACCGCATAATGGCAGGCGTGCCTCAAGGTTCTGTTTTGGAACCCATTTTGTACACCCTATATACCTCAGATCTACCTCAGGTGGAGGAAGTCATGACTGCTACATATGCTGATGACACAGCAATAATGGCGAGCAATAAACACCCCGATGTAGCCTCAGACCAACTCCAACAAGGGCTTGATGCCATTGCAAAGTGGCTTAATAAATGGAGGATTAAAGTGAGCACAACTAAGTCAGTGCACGTGACTTTTACACTTCGTAGAGAAGATTGCCCTGCTGTGCATCTTGAAAGCTCTATTTTACCACACCAAGACAGTGTAAGGTATCTAGGCCTACACCTGGATCGTCGCTTGACCTAGAAACGGCACATTAATACCAAAAGAACTCAACATACGATATAGAAAGCTACATTGGATGCTGGGCCAAAATAGCAGACTATCAATAGACAACAAGCTTCTAACTTACAAGTCTATATTGAAACCCATCTGGGTATATGGTATTCAACTTTGGGGCAGTGCAAGTAACTCAAGTATTTCTATTTTACAACGAGTACAGAATGCTATATTAAGAACAATAGCAAACGTCCCTTGGTTCATCACCAACTCTGAAATTCACACACACCTAAATATGAACACTGTGGGAGAAGAAATTCAAGCTACCACGCAAAAGTACCAAAAACGGCTAGAAAACCACCCGAATGCACTTGCGGCGAGTCTTATTACCCGCAGCTATCAAAAACGTCTTAAAAGAAAAGACGTGTTATAATAGTATAGGACATGAAGAAGTAAGGAGTAGTTGCCCTCACAGGAGGACGCACTCGACCTGCCAAAACCTAACACTTATCTGCTTATAGTTGTCTACTGATTGCAGATTGGTTACAAAAAAAAAAAAATTTTTTTATTATATACTGATAATGCTATCTGTTAACAACTATTAGCATCATTTGATATTTGTCTATTGTCTCTGTATTAAGAAAATAAAAGTTTAGTCGTTGAATAACCTCACACCGTGTTTCAATACTAATACAATACCTTACATACCAATTACTGAATAGTTTAATTTATAAAAAAGAAAAAAAAAGTTTATAGAGTAACTTACTAAGTAATGGATGATATTTTAATAGGCTAGTTAAATCTTCATAACGATAAAATAGCTACATCGGAAATAGGCCGTCTAATTTTAGAACAAAAGTTAGACATTGTCCTTATACAAGAACAATATCAGAGCGCTCGCTTGCGTCGTAATGTAGTACAGCTTGACTGCCGACTCTAATTTTACGGTAACATCTTTGCGTTATCTTATGACGTCACACTGCGCCGTTGCTGAGATATCATCTTCTACCTGTAAGGTTTACGTAGTGAGCTGCTATTTTAAATATTCACATCCTATTGATCCTCACTTACATCACTTACGTTACGTCTAGTTCCTCGTGGGACATAAAATTATCATTGGCGCTGATGTCAATGCGTCATCTTCCATGGCATGGCATGGCGGTATGGCAAGTTGCGTTCAACCAACACGGTTCGACATTGTGCGGTTGAAGATTTCATTGTGGAAATTAATCTTACTATTCACAATACCCCCGATGCACGACCAACTTTTTGCAACCCAATGGGTGAGTCTTCTATTGACATGACGTTTACGCGCGGCGACGTCTCGATATCCGGATGGCGTGTCCTCCCGAACGCATCCTGTAGTGATCACCGCTTGATCGTGTACGAATTCATACCAAGGGTTGCGCAGGATCCACAAAGGGCTCCCTGTCATTTTAGATATAAAACTAAAGGTGCGAACTGGGCCTTGTTTGGTCCACTCTTTGCAACTCGTACCAAAGACTTCAGTCGCAGTAGTTTATCAGCTGAGGAAAGCGCCGAAATACTATCAGAAACTTTCACATACAGCGCTAATGTATCTATTAGTCGCGGATCTATCACTAACACTTGTAAATGTGATTGGTGGAATGATAAATTAGCCGAACTACTTAGAAGCTACCGGAATGCTCGTAGAAAATAGCTCTTAGAGTTGCCAGGTCCCACTACAGACCTACTGTGGAAAAATCCCAGGGAAACTTAATTCAGAAACTTGTTGATAAACTCGATAAAGAGGGCCCGTGGTCACCTTTGTG